AAAACTCACAGAGATCCAGTAGCAAATAATATCTCACATTTATACAGTGTTTTGTTCTTTTAAAAGCACTTTTGTATAGATTATTTCAGTTGACCCAAAGTGATAAATATTATATGTGTAGAAATACATGGTAACCTAAAGTTATTTCTACAGTGGCAAAGAGAAATGACAGATTTGAATTTCAGCCTCACATTTTCCAGTGGAGTATTGTTTACATAGATGGATTTGAAATTAACTAGCTTTGATTTTGTGAATGTTAAAATCCATGGCTTTAATCAGTTGGGGCCAACATTAGTCTTCAATGCATTACCACTTTCAAATCAGAGACTGAGAATGCCAGCAAAGGGGAAAAAACTATATGCCTAATGCTCCAGGAGCACATTGCAGCCCTCAGCTACCATTTCCAAATCTATGAATACTATTGTCTGGGAAATAAGACCACATTAGGCCTGACATTCTTCCTTTTTACATGTGATACCCTTTCCCAATTTATGCATAAACCTAAAGATATCAGTAGAGTTAAGTCTTAGACAACTTGATTCTTGGCCCCTTTAACTCATATGCTCACAACCACTTAACCTTATCCATCATTCAAACAAATTTCTAACATTGATTCATATACCTTGACTATGAAACTGCCAGTGTCCATATAATGCCATCATATGCCATTGCAACTTGTACCAGGCATCTCATATGTGGTAGTAATGTCAAATGGTCTGTCAAACAAGCTCAGTAGGTCTTTGAACCTTCCAAGGTTAAAGGAAGTTCCAAGGTAGCTGCTGTTCTTCCCAGATGTATAAAAAGCAGGCCTGGGAGGTGTCTACATACAGCTGTCCTGAGGGATCTAGTCACCAGTCTGCTGATTGCTGTTGAGAGAGCCTCTAAGAAAGAGGGGTGATTTATATTATGCTTAAAACATAATTCTCAGTGAGTAAAACAAGTTTTTTTGGGAGGTCCAGGAACTCAACCCTCCTTCCTGAAAATATCTGAATTCCTGGATCTCCCTGGCATTGACCTTACCTCTTAGGAGTCCTCCAGACTGGAGCTGTACCAAAACTGGCTGTAAGATCCTCAGCCAGACATTTCCCAACCCAGGACTTACAGAATCACAGTCACATAAAAGTTGGCAAGGCTTCCAGCAACCATTTAGACCCATCCAAACATAAATGATACCCCACTCTAACATACGTAACAAGTAGTTTTCCAACCTCTGCGTGAAGACCTTCAAGGATGGGGAACCCATCACCTATTGAGATAGTCCTTTCCACTTTTGGACAGCTCCAATTTTTCAGAAGTTTTTCCTAATGTCAAGCCTAAATTTATTTCTTCACAACTTGCAACCATTTACTGCTCCTTGTACTGCCCTTTGGACCAAATAGAATAAGTCTAATTCCTATGTGACAGCCCTTAAGATACTTGAAGATGGTTTTCCTATTCCAGTCTTCTCTTCTTTATGCCCCATTTCTTCAACCTTTCTCATGATGGGAACTCATGGCCTTTCACCATGTTAGTTGCCTTCATCTGGACATGCTTCATTTTACCATTTGTTGTTCAGACATTTTCAGTTGTGTCTGACTCTGGGACCCCATTTGGGATTTTATGGGCAGAGATGCTGGAGTGGTTCACCATTTCCTTCTCCTGCTCATTTTACAGGTGAGGAAACTGAGGCAAACCAGGGTAAGTGACTACCCAAGGTCACACAGCTATTAAGTGTCTGAGGCCAGATTTGTGCTCAGGAAGATGAGCCTTCCTGACTCTAGGCCTGGCACTCTAACCACTGTACCTCCTAGCTGCCCAGATCTTAAGAGAGATCCTACTTAAAATCTGGTGCCCAGTGCAATACACAATATTCCAAATAAGGTCCGACAAAGACAGATCATAATGAAACTATAACTTCCCTGTTCCTGGAATTATTCCTCTCTAATACAGTCCAAATCTTTAGGAAAAAATCCCATTTTTTCCTCACTGTAATTGTATGTTCAGTATTCCATTTTTGAACATTTTCCATTACTCTTGTGTTGACTTCCCAAGTATCATTTTAGTCTATGAGAGTCTACTTTTCCTCCCTCTGAACCCTTTTAAATCAGCTTTCCCAAAATCTAGAGTACATGCCAAACTACCCAGGTTTCCCCTCCATTCTCACAGATTCTAGTAGGGAGTGGTCACTATCCCTGTGGTGGTCCTGTCTATTCTGAGATGACACTGATAGTTCAGAAATATTGACTGGAACATCTAGAGACTGAGTGAGGGCCAGGGCAGCTAAATGTCTTTTTCCTCATTGATCATCATTGCCATATTGGTTAAAGTTCTTTTTTGCTTGCTACTAATTGATGTGAGAAAATTTAGGGGACAAAAAGTTTGCTAATACATCTTGAAATTTTTGTATTGCCCTAATCAAAAGACTATATTTGATCCAGTATAACCAAAGATTTTTTTTTTCTACAATTGAATCCTTGTCAATAGCAGGTTTTCTAACAACATAGGCCCCTTTTGTTGGCCTATTATATAATTAGGCAGAGAGGAAATCATTTGATCCTAGTGTGAAGTATAATTACATACAACAGCAAATGAAAGGTGAAAAAGACCTGCTTCTGTAAATATTTTTAATGATAGGACAGCTATGTAACTAGAAAATACTTTGAAGGCCTTAACCCTAAAGTGTGTAAAGAAATTTTGTTGAATCAAATACTATTGTTTTAAATATTTGATCAGGTATATTTCAAAGGCATTCACTGTTTAAATACAAAAGTTTACATATTTTAGTCATTCTGAACTAATAACAACATATATTATTTGGAGGGTTCCTTTGTGTCAGAGTAGCAAATATTTTTTAGTTTCTTTGGAAAAATGATTTATTATGGTAGACTCAATAGCATTATCTGTCAGGAGAGGTCCAAGGCTACAATATGACCCCTTCTGGCAGATTAAATACAAACTATGCTAGCTGCTGGAGTTTGGGCTATAATCTAATTAATATTATAAATATGGAATAGATCATTTCTCTGGATAAAATCTAGGTAGTCTTTTATTTGCTTATTAATTTTCAGGAAAAAATTTCTGATCATATCAACAAGGTGTAGTGCTCTCTTATATTAGACTATCTCTTTCTCAGTGTTATATTGGGCATATTTGGATAATAAATGCTACAACTAGAGCCACCTTCAATTATAAATTACTTCTTTCATGTTTTTGTTATAATTACAAATTATGTTATTTAGCAGAATTTGGAAAATAGGATTTTAGTGGCTGTATTGAAGGGCTTTTATTTAATAAAATACAAATATATGGCTACTAGAGAGTATTTTTGATTATCAGACTGAAATCAATATACTTCTAAAATCTGTATAAAATTATCATAATAATGCAAGATGAGAATTTAAAGTTTTCAAATTAGAGTAGAAACACAGGAAATGTTCAATGAAAATTTTCTCTTCTTTCTTTCTTTCTTTCTTTCTTTCTTTCTTTCTTTCTTTCTTTCTTTCTTTCTTTCTTTCTTTTTTCTTTCTTTTTCTTTCTTTCTTTCTTTCTTTCTTTCTTTCTTTCTTTCTTTCTTTCTTTCTTTCTTTCTTTCTTTCTTTCTTTTTCTTTCTTTCTTTCTTTCTTTCTTTCTTTCTTTCTTTCTTTCTTTCCTACCCTGAGATTGAATATACTCCTCTTTTAACACATGCATGAATTCCATTAGCATTAATCAGTGCTACATGTGTTCACTGAGCTGAAACCAGGGAGGAATTACTTTAATGCCTGATAGAAGAAACTAAACTAATTATCGATATCATCCTAACACTACAGAAACTTTCTTCTTTCTTTCTTTTCTTCTTCCTTTCTACAAAAGTGAATTTAGCATTGAAAAGAGATTCTTGCTTACTGGTACTGAAGACTGAGTCTTCTATCCAGAGTAAAAATTCAGCTTGTGTTGATGCCGACTGAGTTTACTAGCCACCACTAGTGTAGAGGAATCACCACAAAGGTTGAGAATTCATTCTTTGCTCATTCATTCCCTGGCTTCTCCTCTGAGTTTCCCTATAAGTATGCATACCAGCTTTGAAGTTGTTTTGAACAAGAATCTCTAGCCCATAAGGATCTGGTATTATATTTACTAGGTAATATCAGAAAGCCAAAGACTAGCTTTTTACAGAGAACAACTTTAAGCTATTGGTGGTCTGGGGAAACTTTTTCTCCTAATTCTATTTTTAACAGGGGAAGACTCACTTTAGAAAAAAACAGCACCCTGGATAGATTCCAAATATATCTTTAAATATATCCTGGACACATACGGATGCTTATGTGATACGTTTTCCAGAAGCAAAGAAAACTGATCCAGTTTTTGGCTCAGGGGGCTACAGTAACATGGATATGCAAAGTGATCTGCAAGCCATGGAAGCAGCAATTGTCCATCATACTGTCAGGCTTTGAAGAGCTTCCTCCTCTTAAGAGATGCCTAAGATCAGAAAACAAAAACAGTAGAAGTAGAGGTTGCAAAGAATTGACAAAGAGCACATAAGTTAGGGAAATGATACAGTCAGTTTTTACTGTTGTAGTCACAGCTACAATTTTTCCACCTACATAAGTTATCTTCCACTGAGTCTGAAAAGGGGAAACCCATACAGTCACACATACTTGCCTACGTGAAAAAACCCAGTTATTGCAACACATCGAGAGAGTTTGCAAATTAAATCTCATTGCTCCTGGCCCACCAAGTGCTCTTTGAGTTTGCTGTCTTTGTTTCAGGAATCATTTATCTCAAAATTAAAGTAGCGGACCGTTAACTTGGACTCAGTCCTAGAGCCATATTACTCATACCCGATTAGTCTTCAGCAAGCATTCTACTTTTCTTTAGTTTTGGCAAACTCTTCAGAACACCATTTCCTTCTTTTCATTCTGATGCAGGCTGATTGTTTTGTGCTTATACTACATTGGCTTTTCCCAGAATTTAGCTTAGAGTGTTATACACTAGGGAGCTCCAGTTTGTTTAGTTTACAAAATGTTTTTTCCTAGCACTCCTCAGATAGAACCACAGTTTTTGATAGCACTGTCCTAGAGGATTTTAGCATTCTTTTTTTTTTCTCCTGGTTTTCCTTTAGTGTTTTATTTCATAACTGGTAGTTACCCAGTCATATTTTAATTGTGATGCTTTGTCACATCCTCTAGAGAGGTTGGAACATCTACAGCATATTTTCCTTTTCTGCCTGATATATTGCCCTTATGTGTGATGTCATTATTCTTTTCTTAAGTGTATGTCGTTCTATTGGTGCAACTTCCTTTTAGTCATCTGGAACAAGTAAAGGAAGACTGTGCGGTAGTTCCACATGTCAACCAGGTGAGTTACTATAAATGGCAAGAGGGGTGGGGTTAGAAGACGGTGCTCTAAGATGGCATTCACTGCTACTTTCATAAAATGGTATGGTTGCTTTGTACCAGCTTCATAAGTTGGTATGTTTCTATCTTTCAAGGTTGCATTTTAGGCTCCATATAGAGAAAAATAGGTAATCACAGGAGAAATTGGTAGACCTATTACTGAAATTAAACCCACAAAAATTCAGAGAGCAGAAGACTCCTGGTAAATGGACTCCAAGGCTGAGGATTATTGTAGTGTGAGAAGGCAGATTGATTCCCATAGAGAGAGAGCCCTCTGCCCCTAGGATTTTTTACCTGATGCAGCCTTTCTCTAGGACCTCTTTTCGTGTTTCCTCATGAAGCAGGTTGCACAAAGTATCCTGTTTATGATAACTTTATTATTACTTAGTTGCGCATCTGTTGCCAAACTCGTTAAGGATTAAATAATTTGTATAAAATAGACAGCCTCACAGGTAGAATGCAGGACCTGAAATCACAAACACTTGGGTTCAAATCTTGTATCTGACAGTTATCAGCTTTGTGATAAGCATGTATTAAGCATCAGAGGGTTTAACACAAGGCTGTGTAGGGCTGAAATGATATAATACGTGTAAAGTGCTTTGCAAACTTTAAATATTATTATAATATCATTAACAAGTATTTATTAAGCACTTACTGTACTAAGTACTTGGGCTAAAAAGACAAGAGAAAACAATCCCTGCTTTCAGAGACCTTTAATTTAAAGGTAGGGGAGGGAACATGTGTTGGGAGACGAAGTGCTCATACATAGATAAAATACAAATGCAAAGAAATCTTTTGGGGGTGGGGTGAGGCACCGAGAAAGGCCGTAGGTAGGAAGTAGTGCTTGAGCTGAATTTTGAAAGCTAAAATCCCACCTTCTATCTACAGGAATCTGCCTTTCCCAAACTCCTCTCTTAATTCTAGTGCCTTCCTTCTGTTGATTAGTTCAAATTTATGGTGTATATATCTATCTTGTTTGTATATTTTTTTTCATGCTGTTTCCTTCATTTGATTATGGTCTCCCTGAGTGCAGGAATTTTTTGCCTTTCAATGCCTGACACACAACAGGTGCTTAATAAATGTTTACTGGGCAGCTAGGTGTCTCAGTGGATAGAGCACTGGCCCTAGAGTCAGGAGGACCTGAGTTCAAATCTGGACTCAGACACTTGACACTTGCTAGCTGTATGACCCTGGGCAAGTCACTTAACCCCATTGCTTAGCTAAATAAACAAATAAATTTAAAATATTGAGGGCAGCTAGGTGGCACAGTGGAAAGAGCTCTGGCCTTGGAGTCAGGAGGACCTGAGTTAAAATCTGGCCTCACACACTTGACATTTACCAGCTGTGTGACCCTGGGCAAATCACTTAACCCCAACTGCCTCACCAAAAAGCCAAAAAAAAAAATGTTTATTGACTGACTGACTGAGTGAATGACTGAGAGTTCCAGGAGGCATGGGTGAGGAGGAAAATGTATTCCCCGTACGGCAAGCAACTAGGTCAAAGGCATGGAGACAAGTAACAGTCTCTGCCATTTTCCTATTGGCTCCACAGTAATACATATATCCTGTTGTTTTTGTACATACAGGAGTACATACAGTCCTGTTGTGACTCTTCATGACCTCATTTTGGGTTTTTTGGCAAAGATACTGGAATGGTTTGTCATTTCCTTCTCCAGTTCATTTTATAGATGAAGAAACTCAAACGGAGTTTAATGAGTTGCCCAGGGCATTTAGCTAGTAAGTGTCTGAGGCTAGATTTGTACTCAGGTCTTCCTGACTCCAGGTCTGGTGGGCTATCCACTGCATAATCTAGCTGCCCCAGTATATACATCCTATGGAGCAACAAATGGAAGAAACTCCTCCCTTCTTTTCAATTCCCTCTCCTCTCATCCCCAGTTCCCTTCTGAAATCAGACTTGTACTCAGTTAAAGGAGAAAGTCACTTATCTCTCAGCTGGCAGCCTGCCCAGTTCCTAATGAATGTCATTTCCTAAGTGCCTCCCAGAGTCCCTTTGGGGCAATGTTCTGTGAGGGTAACAAGAGTAGTACAACCCACAGAACACCAGGACACAGGCATTGCTACCAACTGGCTTCAGGACAGCACTAGGATATTCCAATATCACTTCAAGGGAGAAGTAAAAAGTCACACTTGGATAATGGGGGAAATGCTGTTGTCCTATCATATCCTCATTGATTGTCTTTATTAAATTTTATTCATGAAGTAATAATATAAAAATCAAGAGTGGATTTCACAGAGTATAAAAGGCCAGCCTTGGGTTAGGAAAATCTTGCTTTACTTCCTCTCTCTGATATATACTAGTTATTTTACCCTGGGCAAGTCACTTACCCTGAGCTTTGTGGCAACTCTTTAAGACTAGAAGTCACAAAGCTACCAATTTGCATCAGTGGAGGGAATTTCCACCTAGGGGGTCACCAGCATGATAGAAATGGACCAGTGACTTGCAATGTAAATATATATGTATGTGTATGTATGTATGTATATATTTTGCTATGTAGATATAGCTTTTTTTTTTTTGGACTAGGCTTGTGATTTCCCCAATGTAAGGAGTTCACTGTGAGGAACCTTATCTGCCAATGAAAATGGACAAGTCTTCTGTGACTTAAAAGCCTTAGAGAGCCTTGCCCAAAGTCACATGGCTAGCATTGGACAGAAGTAGAGTATGAAGCCAGATCTTCCTGAATCTGGGGCCAGCTTTCTATCCATTATACTGTGCTATTAGTTAGATAGAGGTAGATGATGATGATAATAACAGTAATCATATCAACTTTTTATAGCTAATGTTTATGTAAGTGCTTTAAGGTTTGCAAAATACATATTATCTCACAATATCCTCACAATAACCCTGAAAAGTAGATGCCATCATTATCCCTATTTAATAGATGGGAAACTGAGACTGAGGCTAAGTGACTTGCCTAGGGTCACATAGAAAGTAAAAATCTGAGGCAGGATTTCAAGTCAGGTCTTCCTGATACCAAGGCCAAGAATCTATCTACTGTACCATATAGCTACCTATATAGAGCTTATTTTCATCTGCCTATCATCTATATCTATCTATCCATCCATCCATCCATATACCTATCTGTCTGTCTATATAAATATTTGAAAGGCACTGCCCTTGTTTTGAACACACAATATCCATTTCCTTTCTTTTTTGAAATAGATTTTTAATTAATATCTTTCCTTTTACATCACCTGGATTTCCTCCTATATTCCTCTCCTGCATTTTGCAGAGAGCTGTTTCGTATAACAAAGGATTTTTAAAGGAAAAAGACAAGTGGAAGAGAAAAAAAAACTCAGGAAAACATCAATCCATTGAAAAAATAGACATCATATGCAGTGTCCCACATCGGAAAACAGTGAGAGGAAGTGTCTTTTCATAGACTTGCTGTCATAGAAATGCACAAAGATACATTGGAGCCTTCAAGATAAAAAAAATAAGAATTTTAGGGTTAAGCAGTTAGGTGGAACAGTGGATAAATAGCTGGGCCTGAAGTCAAGAAGGCTTAAGTTCAAATCCAGCTCATATATTAGCTCTTTGACCTTGAGCAAGGCACTTCACCCCTGCCTCAGTTTCCTCAATTGTAAAATGGGATAATAATAACACCTACCTCACAGGGTTGCTGTGCGAATCAAATGGAATAATATTTGTAAGTGCTTAACGCAATGCCTGGTACACAGAAGGCATTATCTAAGCGCTTATTCCCTTCCCCTTCCCTTCTCTTTTTTCTTCTTTGGGTCCAGACTTGTTCTTTATAATTTCACATTAATTGGTTATTTTGTGGTGGTTCTTTTTTTCATCTACATTATTGTGGTCAGCATGTGCATTCTTTTACTCACTCTGCTCACTTTACTGTGTATCAAGTTCATATAAACCTTTCCTTGCTTCTCTGTATCCATCATGTTTATGATGTCTTAGAGCATAGTAACTTGTGTGCTACAATTTGTCTATCCGTTCCCCAATCAATGGATATCTATTTTGTTTTAGATTCTTTGTTACCACAAAAAGTGCCGCTGTAAAAATTTTAATGTATGTGGTGCCTTTTTTTTTTTGGTCAATGTCTTCTTTGGGATATATGCCTAGTGGTTCTCTGGATTAAAGAGTATGAACAATTTAACCACATATTTGCATAATTCCAATGGGTCAGTGCATTTCTAGAACAGTTGTCTAATTCACAGCTCCACCAATAATGTACAGTTATCCCTTCCACACTGAAGGGGTTAGGGGCAGGCACCCCCAATGTAGAAATTTCAAGTAAAAATTTTGGCCCTGCCTTCATACCAAAGAAGAAGTCTGAATTATTGTGTATTAAAAGATAAAATATGTTGGTATTATACAATAGTATACATACATTTTATGCAGTTCTGAGTTTCTAAACATTTTCTGTGTTATCTGGGGGCCTTTGCGTGTCATCTACAGCTTCTGCAGAACTCCCCAAAAGTTCCCATTTAATTTCTTATGCCAACCTGAAACTGTGATGGGGCAAGTTTCAATGTGGGAAGGTTAATTGTTTTAGTGTGCCGGTCTTTCCATGACAATTTCAACATAGATCTATCCACTTTCAAAAGAAAACTTGTATCTCGTGAAGAATGGAATTTCATTATGGGGCTTAACACAATGCCTGGCACATAGTAAGCATTATATAACTGCTGGCTATTATTTTTTTAAAAATGGCTGCCACAGCAACAAGAATAGAATGTGCAAAAAGTTGCTAGTCATAACTGGAATAGTAATAGCTAATTGTGGCACAAGCAAAAAAAAGGAATAAACCAGCTAGGTGCCAAAATATTTAGAGCCCTGGATTTGGAGTTAGGAAGATTCAAATTCAAATCCTACCTCAGACATATTAGCTGTATGACAGTGGACAAGTCACATAACTCCTCTCAGTCTTGGTTTCCTCATATGTAAAATGGAGATGACAATAATAGTACATATTTTAGTGTT